CACTAACCAAACACTGTCACACACAACAAACTTTTACAATGACCGAACACTGTCACCAACAATAAACTTATACACTGATCTAACACTGTCACAAACAATAAACTTACACAATGACCGAACACTGTCACCAACAATAAACTTATACACTGATCTAACACTGTCACAAACAATAAACTTATACACTGACCAAACACTGTCACACATAACTCAATCATATGTTTCACATACAATTAACACAACAACACTCTGCGATCTTATCATTGCAAATCTTAATAAACAACAAATAAAACAATACATGACGATATGTATTTATAATATTCCTGCTGATAATGCAGATAAGACTCGGTATAATAACATTGGCCACATAATCAACATCTATACGACAAATTGTACTCATTCATACAGTTTCAACGTTAGTTATCAGAACCGTGATGTAATAACCTTCATCAAAAGTAACTTTAAAACGCTTTTCGATAAATTTGACGCCGTGGTGTCGGGATTGAGTGTTTGTAACCTGTAATAGGGTTCAAATTAATTTATGTTTACCGGTGTTCTTTAATACATTTTTACCAATCATCAACGATACAAAAAATCTACATACGGGAGACCGGGGCAAGTTCGGCCACCCCTGATATTTTTGTTTTTGAGCTAATATTTACAACTTTAAAGATCTTAGCAGTTTAGTTGGCTGGGCATTCACACGAAACAATGGCGAGGAAAACTCTAATTTAAAATTACTAAACAGGAGAATATTACTTTTGGGAGGGTAGAAAGAAAATCATGATCTCTTTTCTAGTTATGCGAACTTTCTGTAAAAGGAATTGCTATTTTTACGGTCAAACGTGTAACACACTGACAGCTTCAAATGATATACATAAAAGCCAAGTCAAGCACTCACTACCATATTGCTGTGCGATAAGAACTTGTTGAAATATCAATTTGAGCCCGGACAGTTTCGGCCAATGATACCGTGGCAAGTTCGGCCCATGTGACACATACAAAGTCGTAAAATTGGCGGTAAAATCTGACGTTGCATGCTTTATAACGTCATAATTAAGCTGATTTCAATGGGGCCGAATTTCCCCGAATGCCCCTCCGAACTCATCCCATGGCGGGGCTCGTTTGGCCATCCGATAATCCGACAGGGAAAATTAGATAATGTTCAAAAACGGACGTGCTGCCATACTTCCCAAAACGGACTTTAAAAAAGGGCCGAATTTTCCTCGATCTCACCAGCGTTAACTACCTGTAGCCTTTACGTCTTAATCTGAGTTTATTACCGGTCACCTGTACCTGCCTTCAATTCCTGTAACTCGTTGTGCCAACATAGGGAAACTTAAACACACATTAATTCAAAGTGAGATGAACAATAAATCAGATAAGATGAGCAATAATAATATCAACATTTTAATAGTTTGATTAGTAAATTACATAACTTGCATACTATATAAATATATAAACTCTATTTCTTTTACAACAATTGTGAAAACAAGTCATTTCAACTTATGTGAAAGCACTGCTGTAGGCCCGGATTTATTGCGCGGGAAACCGGAGTACCTGGAGAAAACCTACGTAATCTGGCAGGTGATCCCATACGCCCTTGGTGTATGGCAAGTGTACTATTCACTGCGCCAACCAACCACTCTTGTTAATTTATTTGCATAATTTCTTGATACACAATTCTACGACGTTATACGTACCACCTGAATGAGGCATCCCTTCCACTACATTTATATATCATCATAACAATGTGGGAATGACAAGCACCCAACGAAAACATCAAAATATAATATCGTTTATGATAAAATGGAGAATTTGTGTCATTATAAGCCGAATAAATTTCAATTAGTGAACGTGACTCATGCTGACATACCACGTTATTCAAATTAAATCCAGATCGTCCATTTTGAATAAGAGACCCATTAGGCGTTTATCGCTCATCTGTAATTAACCATGATACACATGAAATTTAATATCTAACTAGAGAGGGGTAACATATCTGACCATTATAAACTTGTATTGTTTGTTTTATTGTTATTGTGAGTCTGGTGTGCAGGATCCCTCGTTTACGACCCTGTACCAGTAACAATCTGTTTACTTTGGGATTTTATTTTTTTTAATATCTGTGAAATTCATATATAGGCAAGTTAAACCTGAAATTTCTCGTAACATAGAAGCGGACACTACACCACTGAATACCATTGCATGCTTAAGAATGTAAATATATACCAGGGCCCAGGTGTTCAAAAGGTGATCACCTTAATCAGTGATTAGTGCAAATTTTAATTTTTGTGTAATTTCAAAACAAAACTAATGAATTACATGCATAATGGTGACATTTTATCTTTTTTTTTTTTATCTTGCTTATTGACAAAATTATTAAAGGTTGAAAAATGTCGTTCAAATTTTTTGAACACTAAAAATACTGTAAAAAGAGTAACACAAATTTTATATATATATATTTTTTTTTACATTTTTTTTTATCTTTATCAATGAAATTAACTTTAATAACACATCATTTGATGGGGAAGCTTAGGAAGGAGTAACAATGTTAGCTTGATAGGATACACATGCCCCACGTTAATACTAACATCAAGGTTTATACAATGTTAGCTTGATAGGATACACATGCCCCACGTTAATACTAACATCAAGGTTTATACAATGTTAGCTTGATAGGATACACATGCCCCACGTTAATACTAACATCAAGGTTTATACAATGTTAGCTTGATAGGATACACATGCCCCACGTTAATACTAACATCAAGGTTTATACAATGTTAGCTTGATAGGATACACATGCCCCACGTTAATACTAACATCAAGGTTTATACAATGTTAGCTTGATAGGATACACATGCCCCACGTTAATACTAACATCAAGGTTTATACAATGTTAGCTTGATAGGATACACATGCCCCACGTTAATACTAACATCAAGGTTTATACAATGTTAGCTTGATAGGATACACATGCCCCACGTTAATACTAACATCAAGGTTTATACAATGTTAGCTTGATAGGATACACATGCCCCACGTTAATACTAACATCAAGGTTTATACAATGTTAGCTTGATAGGATACACATGCCCCACGTTAATACTAACATCAAGGTTTATACAATGTTAGCTTGATAGGATACACATGCCCCACGTTAATACTAACATCAAGGTTTATACAATGTTAGCTTGATAGGATACACATGCCCCACGTTAATACTAACATCAAGGTTTATACAATGTTAGCTTGATAGGATACACATGCCCCACGTTAATACTAACATCAAGGTTTATACAATGTTAGCTTGATAGGATACACATGCCCCACGTTAATACTAACATCAAGGTTTATACAATGTTAGCTTGATAGGATACACATGCCCCACGTTAATACTAACATCAAGGTTTATACAATGTTAGCTTGATAGGATACACATGCCCCACGTTAATACTAACATCAAGGTTTATACAATGTTAGCTTGATAGGATACACATGCCCCACGTTAATACTAACATCAAGGTTTATACAATGTTAGCTTGATAGGATACACATGCCCCACGTTAATACTAACATCAAGGTTTATACAATGTTAGCTTGATAGGATACACATGCCCCACGTTAATACTAACATCAAGGTTTATACAATGTTAGCTTGATAGGATACACATGCCCCACGTTAATACTAACATCAAGGTTTATACAATGTTAGCTTGATAGGATACACATGCCCCACGTTAATACTAACATCAAGGTTTATACAATGTTAGCTTGATAGGATACACATGCCCCACGTTAATACTAACATCAAGGTTTATACAATGTTAGCTTGATAGGATACACATGCCCCACGTTAATACTAACATCAAGGTTTATACAATGTTAGCTTGATAGGATACACATGCCCCACGTTAATACTAACATCAAGGTTTATACAATGTTAGCTTGATAGGATACACATGCCCCACGTTAATACTAACATCAAGGTTTATACAATGTTAGCTTGATAGGATACACATGCCCCACGTTAATACTAACATCAAGGTTTATACAATGTTAGCTTGATAGGATACACATGCCCCACGTTAATACTAACATCAAGGTTTATACAATGTTAGCTTGATAGGATACACATGCCCCACGTTAATACTAACATCAAGGTTTATACAATGTTAGCTTGATAGGATACACATGCCCCACGTTAATACTAACATCAAGGTTTATACAATGTTAGCTTGATAGNAGACATATATAAAAGACGCGTGGCAAAAAAGAGGCTACTGAAATAAAGTTAACATAAATGGGCCTACCCGATGCGGTTAGCCAAGAGTTGTGAAATTTATTTCAATCGAGTATGAGCCCGCCTAACAGGTCAGCCAGTGTCTGGTTACACAATGACAGCAGATCAGGAAAGCAATTTTCGTCATATCATTCAACAAAACTGGTACGTCAGGAGTGCAGATACATAGATAAATTTATTGAGCGAAATACAAAAGATCACTTGAAGTATGCAAGCAAATTGTGAAATGAAATATAGACGGCACAGAGACATACATAGCTGAATACAATGGTAACTAATGGAAGCCCCAAGGTAAAACAGATAATTTTTGTTTGACCACATGAAAACCACAAATGAACAAAGATTTTGTATGATTTTTCCTTCAGTATGAATCGAAAGAGGTGAGTTTGTGTAAGTGCTTGAATCATCTTTTAAAAACATGACTTTTGATACAGATTTGATACATCTATATTAACTATGGACTTTTGTCGAGGTCAATACCTAGTTTTATGAACCTGATAGAATGACATGCGTCTTCGGTTCGATATTAGTCTATAACCTTCATATCGCAAGGTATTGTGATAAAGACATAGGTCCTTATTTTTATATCATATATCATGTCATTCGATAGCATGGGGTGTATAACACAGTTTGTATCTCACGGTATGATTCATATATCACAACATGTACATTTTAGAGATTAACAAAGTTATTAAACATCAGATTCCTAATTCATTTTATTTTTCAAATACCCATACATTCTTGCATGTTTTTGATGATGACATTGTTACTTTTAGATATTCACATTGATAGAAAACAGAATATCCGGATCTAGATTTAGAAACATTAAGTTGATACAGTCACGTGCAAGACAGAAATAGAAACAAGGTGTCGATATGCATATATGTATAAGGTTGTTTAGACGTAATGCTCAGAATGAATCCACGGGTGGACTAGAAGGCTTGAAGTCCGTTGGAACACATGTTGTATAAAAACACCCGAAGCTGAGCTAGGAATAAATGGCCATGCGAGGAACGGGACTAGATGTTTGTAGGCATGCACGGACATAGACTTCTGCACCAGATGTATGTACGCATGCAAGAACCAGACTTTCTGCAGGAGATGTATGGAAACCTAATAGGACCGTACTTTTTCTAAGACTTCCTTCACGAACAGACGTATAAGCAACTGTGAATAAACAAAAGTTTGCAGTGTTAGTAACAAAACGTGTTAGTAATTATGATATAACAGTGTTAGTTATTATAATATAACAGTGTTAGTTATTATGATATAACAGTGTTAGTTATTATAATATAACAGTGTTAGTTATTATGATATAACAGTGTTAGTTACAAAATGAAACAATATAAGATTATCTTATATAACAATGTAAGTTATCATAACAAAACAGTTTAAGTTATTATAATATAACAGTGTTAGTTATTATAATATAACACTGTTAGTTATCATAACAAAACAGTTAAGGTAATTATAATATAACAGTGTAAGTTATCATAACAAAACAGTTTAGGTAATTATAATATAACAGTGTTAGTAATTATAATATAACAATGTTAGTTATCATAACAAAACAGTTTAAGTAATTATAATATAACAGTGTTAGTTATTATAATATAACAATGTTGGTTATTATAATATAACAGTTTAGGTTATTATAATATAACAATATTAGTTATTATAATCTAACAGTTTAGGTAATTATAATATAACAGTGTTAGTTATTATAATATAACAATGTTAGTTATCATAACAAAACAGTTTAGGTAATTATAATATAACAGTGTTAGTAATTATAATATAACAATGTAAGTTATCATAACAAAACAGTTTAAGTAATTATAATATAACATTGTTAGTTATTATAATATAACAATGTAAGTAATCATAACAAAACAGTTTAAGTAATTATAATATAACAGTGTTAGTAATTATAATATAACAATGTTAGTTATCATAACAAAACAGTTTCAGTAATTAAAATATAACAGTGTTAGTTATTATAATATAACAATGTTAGTTATCATAACAAAACAGTTTAGGTAATTATAATATAACAGTGTTAGTTATTATAATATAGCAATGTTAGTTATCATAACAAAACAGTTTAAGTAATTATAATGTAGCACAGTGTTAGTTATTATAATATAGCAATGTTAGTTATTATAATATAACAGTGTTAGTTATTATAATATAACAGTGTTAGTTATTATAATATAACAATGTTAGTTACCATAACAAAACAGTTTAAGTAATTTTAATATAACAGTGTTAGTTATTATAATATAACATTGTTAGTTATTATAATATAACAGTTTAGGTAATTATAATATAACAGTGTAAGTTATTATAATATAACAGTGTTAGTTATAATGATATAACAGTGTTAGTTATTATCATATAACAATGTAAGTAATCATAACAAAACAGTTTAAGTAATTATAATATAACAGTGTTAGTAATTATAATATAACAATGTTAGTTATCATAATATAACAATGTTAGTTATAATAATATAACAGTATTAGTTATAATAATATAACAGTGTTAGTTATTAGTTATTATAATATAACAGTGTTAGTTATTATAATATATAACAGTGTTAGTTATCATAACAAAACAGTGTGAAAACTCCTTTTTGTTTATGTGTGATGTTTTGGTGACTAGTGTCAGACAAATGACAACTATTCATGTAACAAGAGGCCCATGGGCCTTAACGGTCACCTGATATATTTATACAGAGAGTTGATTTTTGTTTTTAACATGAACAGAAATATTATTCAAAGTGACGAAAAACAATAAAACCACCTCATTCAATATCTAGCATGCAGATTTAAGACTGAAACGTATTTGAAACTAGCACCTCTGATTCTAAACAAGGAAAACGAAGAAATTTTATCTTAGCACACAGACTCCATTGGGCCCCACCCTACAGCCCTTGGGGGTAGGGATGGCTCAAAATTTACAAAGTATCAAACTGTCAACTTAGGGTTATAATTCCAATCAAGTTATCAACATGTAATATTCAAAGTATCATTTGCCATTATAAACCATAACAAATTTTGCCCCCCCC